TCCTCTGAAAGAGAAGCAAATTCTCTTAACTGCTGAGCCATCTCTCCAACCCCTACAATTTTTAAAGACTTTTCTCTCCCACCTTTTGTATTTTTTCTAGATCATAAGCAACTATTTGCTTGACTTAGAAGGCTATAATGTCTCAGTGACTTAGGTCTCATCCATTTAAAAAAAAAAACCCGCAGTGAGGGTTTTGTTTGTTTGTTTGTTTTCTTCTTCAGGATAAAACTGCAAGAGATACAAGAGATGCTTAGCATCCCAAGGCAATTGGGTTCCTGAAATCAAGGAACCTGGTATAGAATAATGCAACTTCCAAATGGAACACAGGGAAGAGAAGACCCAGGGCTGAAAAAGACATTCTATGACCTTGGATATTAGTCCTGGCATGGTGGCTGTCTTTTCCTGGTCTGCCTAAAGAATACAGCATCAAATATACTCATGAAAATGGAGATGGCTTTTGAGCTGTGGCTGTGGCTCTCTAAGAGCTGCTTCAGCATGTTCTAAGCATTTCAGGGGATTGCTGGTTCTTAGGACACTCTTCTTTCTACTGAGAGTAAATTTTTCAATTTGTAGGTGGCTCCTAGATACCTTGGACAGGAGAAGCCCAGAAACATGGAGCCAGAGGTCCTTCCTAGCCCCAGTACGGTGACCTGAAAACTGGCATGGGGCAGCTCCAAATTCTCTCCCAGCATTACTACTTTGGTGCTTGCTTTAGATTTCTGTAAGGGCTTTGCAGCCTTCTAAGTCAAGCAGAGAGTTGCTTATGATCTAGAAAAAAATACAAAAGGTGAGAAAGAAAAAAAGAATGGGTCAAAATATTGGCAACTGATGAAGGAGGTGAGGAGCGCAGGAGCTGACACACCATTTATTCTATTTTGAGCATGTTACAATTTTTCCATGATAAAAGTCTTTTTAAAATATCTCCAAAGACACAGAATCTTCTTTGAATTCAAATGCCTTTAGAGTCTTTGTTCTTCAGTGGCATTGGGAAGCCTCATTTGTCTAGTAACATGTCACTTCCAAGGGAAATCCCCTTCCTTTGTGATCTTTGATATCCCTGCTCTGTCCTGGAAACAACTTCAACACCTGCACTATTCTAAAACCCTGGGTTTTAAAAGCTGCTTTCTACCTCACCTTCTCAGACTTCGGCTCTCACATATATAGTAACAAACATCATTTGGAGCACAGAAAATTCCAACTTTGCTTGCCTTGCTGGGAACTGTAAAAGGCTTCCCATAGTGGGCAGAGCCCCATCTGTGGAATCTTGCAGGAGTCACCCTTGCCATTTAAGACAGAGGAGTTGGTCAAAGGCTGATATGCTCTGCCCCCTTCATGCACCCCTCTTTCTCTGCCTCCTTCATCTCCTTCCTATAGTGGGAAGTTACCAATACGGAGTCAGGTAGAAACATAAGGATATTTAATAGGGAAAAGCCTTACTTACAGAGCAACCTAGCCAGCCGGCGTGGCAGCAGTCTGTACCGCAAGTACAAAAGTGAAACCGAAAGAGAAAACGCAGTCCCCTGAAAGTCTCACTCTATGTCACCCTGACCACGCCCTCGCAAGCGTGGTCAGGCACACCTGTAGCCAGCC